ACTATAGTAAACTTTTTAAAAAATAAAAGCGTTATTAAGATATTAAATAGTAGTAATATACTATAAAAGCTAAGCTTAGTAGCTAAGTTAATAGTAAGTATATTAAAGGCTATAGTATATATATAGTATACTTAAAAAGTAGTACTTATAGTAGTTACTTTTTATATTTTTTTCTTTTTAACTTATACTTATATATAATTTCTTTTTTTAGTTACTATTTACTTTATTTTATAGTACTATAATAATAGAAAGTAAAATAAGCTACTTATAACTTTTATAATATTAATAATTTTAATAAAAAGATACTCTTATAAATAAGAGAAATTATAAGTATAATACACAGCTCGCATAGTAAAAGAACTACACCTGTAGGAAAGAGGTTTATATGTAATAGAGGGATGGGCACGCCCTTTGTGCACTGTGTATATTCACCCAAAGCCTAGACGGATGTCCAATGTGAAAGCTCGTTCAGCGTCCGCAGGGTTGACTTCGTTCCACTCGTACGCAATGAACAACTGCGTAGAATACATGGGTAGACCCCAAGTCAATCTGACGCCTTTCAGCAACGTGTCTGCTTGCCTTGACTTCACCGTACCGGGCTCAACTGTGGCCATTCAGATAAATATGTGCTAAATTTGCTCCCTCAGTCTCCCCCAGTCCCTCCGAACAACTACTCATATCCACCACTAAGTAGAACACCACAGCATGAACGCCGACAAAGAAACCAACGCAGGATGTTTCAAAGATAGTAAGTCTTCCTATTTCATCAACCTCCATCTCGCACGCTAACGAGTTTAGCGAGCATGTGCAACGAGGCCTCCTCCGCTCCTGCATCTTGGAATAGTTTACCAGAGGAGCTGAAACTGGCGACCCTTGGCCACCGACTCCACATTAATGGCACTCTCACGGCCATAACTCATCCCATCCGTGCAAAAATGGCTAGCTATGAGGCTTTGCTCCTCACCAGTAAAGAGATGAATAGACTAGCCAAGATTTCGTGGGGAGAAAACCAATTCCTTCTCTGTTGGCCGAGCGCTGGCCTACAATACCCACGACCGCCCACGTCTCTCGCAGAACAGGTTCGTAACTTAACCATCGAAATCTTCGTGGATGGCCGATTAGGTTGGAAAAGGATGAATGAAGACGCCAAATTCCCGTACTCATGGGATGTCCTCCTCGACACCGAAAAGAGCTCCAGACTGCGTCAACCAACACTGAAGAAGCTTAGAGGGAGCGAGAATCCGGCCGTCGCCTGGCAGTCAGAGTTTCCCGCCCTGAAGGAGCTCACAGTCGAGATCATATTGGCTGGGAATCTAGATGACTACCACAACCACAGGAACAAGATCGGTAGGATTCACTGGTGCATGGACAAGGAAAAAATCGAAGAGCACTTCGAAGGCTGTCGTACATATCTCAGCACCTGCGAGCTTACAGTCAAGGTCCGTGGTCTCAGATGCGGAGACTATTCAACCGATGGAGATGCCGGTCCCAATACCAAAGCCTGTCCCAACGGGTGCGCTGAGAAGATTGCGACATGCTTTGCGGCTCTCGTCGAAATCAAGGATTAAGTTGACCGTGTGGACGAGGACGATGATGAGGTCCTTTGCGGACGTTGGTATGAAACGGTAGTCTTGGAAAGAGTGTGTCGACTTAGTAAGCTCAGAGCTCGTGAGGGGAATAGGATAGTTGGCTAGATGTTTCCACGGCCGACTTGGTTCATGAGAAGAAGTTTAGACGGTTAATAGAACAGTACGTTCATGCCACTGCTGCACTCTTAGCTTAGTGCACTAGGCAGCGCCGGTCTTACACGATACATGCTAGCCCTCACTGTCAAATACCACTTTGCTTCTTCCCTGTGCACCTTCATCAACCGCACTTCCAACCTTTCTGACCACTTCTTTGTCGAAAAAGGCAACACCTAGCTCTTGACTTGTGAACCAACTCGCCCGGTCTAGATTCCCGGAGCCTAGGACGAGGACTTCGTCATCTACAATAGTCATCTTGAGATGCGACTGTTGGGGCTCTCCTGCTTCGTTGCCCCTCTTCTTGGGTCCACCGATCGGTTCGAAGTATGAGACATGTAGGCGACCGGGCTTAGGAGTCGCCATAGCTGCTTCCTCATCGTTCGAATTGCCACCGTCGTGGGTCAGCTGTTGATAGCGTTTGATGAGCTTCTTGATGCAGCGTGATGTTGTGGTTCCTGCTGTGACCAACTGCTCGAGTATCATGAGACGTTCGGAGGTCAGAATGCGTACGTCGATGCCGCGTGCAAGCGCTCTGAGTATGGCGGACAGAACAGGTGGCGCAGTGACATTTGGCGTCTGAATACGGATGCTTCTTTCAGCCTTTGCAAATAGTGTGAGTATGAAAACGTTCAGAGGCGTTGGCGGAGCTCGAAGGGTGTCTTGAGCTCCAACGAAACTAAAGCGCGGATTACGACGGTGTGGGCTGGGAAGGAAGACGGTATGTATACTGCGAGCCGACAGTAGTGCAGACGATTTCAGCGCACCGTGAAGCTTTACCGCAGCGCTGTCGGGAACGTCGAGACTAGTCGGAACATCCTCTCGCCGCTCCCAGAAAGTACGATAGAATTTGAGGAACTGTTCGACAACAGGTCCAGTAAGGGTGACGGCACCCTCGAACCATTCTTCCCAGCTGATGTTGCAACTTGGTAACACTGCCGTCTTCCGATCGACGATGATGAATTTGGGATGCATGACACTGAATGGTAATATGAATATAGACTTGATCTCGAGGTCCAGTCCATTGAGCTCAGACGGGTCAGGCAAGCCCAGCTTCTTCACCCATGCTGAAGGCGGATACGTCTGTCCTGAAGTGGCCTGCTTGTGAAATAGCTTCTGAAAGACCGAGCTGGAGGAAAAGCAAAGTCGAACTCTGATCTTGTCCGTCCCTCTCCTGACAGCCTTGTCGGAGAGTCTTCTCAGAACCTCGTTCAGTGTTTCAAGAGTTGTCGATCTAGCCCAGAAGCAAGTGACCAGGATAAGCTCGCGGCTAGTAGACTCGAGGAGAGGCACCAATGAGTCGTAGATTGCAGATCCAGTTCCAGTCATGAAAGTGTCGAGATTAGAGGTGGTGATCAGGGACCGCGGATAGCGGGCATAGTAGCTTGGGTCATCGGTCGCATTGGCCGGCGCCGCAGCATCCAGGGCTGAGATGAAGGGCTCGTTGAAGCTGGATACGACAGGAGATGGTGTTGTCGGTGCCATAGTCCTTGTATCCGAGACTCCCGTTCAGAGCAGCGATGCAGCAGTGATGGAGAGGGAGTGGTAGCGAGATTTGACTGTTGATGGATGACGTCGGGTCGGACCTGTCGCGACTGCCATGAGGTAGACGCGTCAAGACTAGACCCCATCCGGAAAGCTCGGCAGGGATCATCGGGGAAGCTCCAGTCCCCGCCAAAATTTCGGAAGCTCTTCGCAGTAGACAACATCACCAACACCCCCGCGGTATCACACGAACGCAGCCTCGACTAGCTTAAAACGATTGGCTGTAACCGGATCCATCGATCATATACCTCACACTCTCGAAACAGAACGCGCCGTCCACACAGGCGCATATTCACCATGCCAATCTCCATCCTCCCACCCAGCGCACCTCTCCCACCACGGCGCGATGCGAACGACGAATACGACGACTCCGATGTGGAAATGGAAGATGATGACTTCGCGACTTCCGGCTCAAAATCGATTGTAACGCCCGGCGAACACATAACCTCAGATCCTCAATGGATGCGCGGCCACGGCACCTACATCCCAAGCCTCCCTCCGTCCTCCACCACGATAATATCGACCGTCGCCGGTACCCTGCACAAGACCAACAAACTGCTTTCCGTACAACCGCTGCGCGCTCGATACCAACCCGAGATTGGCGACTTGGTCGTAGGACGCATAATGACAGTGGGAACGAAGAAGTGGAATGTGGACATCGCAGCGCCAATGCACGCAAACCTGCCTTTGTCGAGTATAAACTTGCCCGGTGGAGTGTTGCGACGCAGAACGACAGTAGACGAACTGAACATCCGGACGTTCTTCCAAGAAGGCGATTTACTCGTCGCCGAAGTGCAGAGTCTGCACCAAGACGGCACCGCATCCCTCCACACGCGATCGCTCAAATACGGAAAACTGCGGAATGGCTTGTTTACCAGTCTAAGTGGCGCAGGAGGTGGCATACTGAGTCGCAAGGGTGGTGTAGTGAGGAGTAGGCGGCAAGTGTTCACGCTGAACACCGCGGCAGGCGAAATCGACATCGTACTCGGTGTCAACGGATACATCTTCATCAGCAAACACATCGCGACGAATGCGGACCCGAAAGAGGTGGGTATCAACAGGCTGGACGAAAGCGTGACCGAGACGCTGTACTCCAGCCAGAACGACGAGATCGAGCCAGCTGTTATGCGGGAGATTACCAGGGTCAGCACCTTGATCAGGGGATTAGTAGCGTGTGGCGCGAAGGTGGATGAGGACATGATTGTCAAGGTATATGACGGCGCGGTTGAGCTTGAGGCAGAAGAGCAAAGTCTAGGTGGTGTGGAGAGGGGCATTGGCGCCAAAGGTGTCGTAGAAGCCGTGCTTGGACGTATAGAGGTGGAGGCCGCCGGCTGAGGATAGACGAAGCTCGAGGCATTCACAAATATTCAGAAGTAAAAGACATGGGCATGCCATGCCGCTCAAGCATCAGATCTATGCGTCCTGACGGGTTGTACCCGCCGAGTCGTCAACGAGCAGCTGCAGCAATCATTACGCTGTGACTTGTAGTCACTTGCCAGAAGTGTTCTAGCAACAGCACTCACGGAGCGCACACAGATCGCGCACGCTGAATAGAATTGTAAAGATAGTCAATCATACATTACTCATTGTGCAGTGAACACATTATACCCCATCTAAAATCGTATATGTAAAACATCGGCCCTGTACAAAGCGAGCGGAGAAAAAAACTCTCGACATGAACAAAACTCCGAAAGTCGGTAGGCACACTGCCAATCACCCTTCCATAACCAGCAGGCCCTCCCTCTCCAATCTCCTGAGGCTATCGATATCACCACCAGCCTCTATAACAGCCTTCATAGCCGCTCGACTAAGCTTCCTGCGCTTATCGGCGGCTTCCTTCTCTCGTCGCGCTTTCGTCTTGCTGGAACCGCTGGGCGCGACGCCTGTCAGGATCTTGCGGCTGTCGTCTGGCGTGAAGTTTACGAATCCGACACCGCCACTGCTTGCGCTCGTCTGCCGTGAGGACTGCTGGGAAGAATGGCTGGATTTGCGTCTTGACGATTGGCTAGAGCGATGTTGACTTGACTTGGAGCGGTGGAAGCGGGGTTCGACGCGTGGTGAGGGAGAACGTGAGACTGGTTGGCTGTTGGGCAGCACTTGGGGTTGCGCGTAATGGTGCGATGGCCTGTTGTACATGGCACCGTAGCTAGCCATATCGAACGAGGCTGAGGCTCTAGGGGTCGAATAGCTATCGTTCATAGCGCCAAAGTCAAATGCGGCTGAGTCGTAAGAGATTCCTAGTCCTTCCAGTCTCACATTGTGGCTCGTAGATCGCAGATTGCTCTGACCAAAGCTGGTAGAGTATGGCGGCTGAACGGTGGGGTCGTTCTCATTCCACCAACCTGCTGTCTCAAGGCTGTTGCTAGTGTCGCACGAGGCTGAGAAACTAAGATCCAAAGCCGGCGAGGGGTCAGGGCCCCATGTTGTCACGGGTAATTGGAGAGAGGGAGGCGGGGTCTGCAAGGCTGAGAGAGCCGCACTTGACGTGCTAGAAGAGCAATAGGCGAGTCCCATGTTAGCGTTGAAGCCGCTGTCGGAGTTGCTGGAATTTCCCATTGCTGGCGATGCAGATGGAGTCAATTGGTAGTTCGTATAGTTCGACCTGTCGTTGGGCAGGCTCGAATAGTCATTAGTGTAAGCCTGGTGGTAATTATGGGGAACACCGCCATTGTTGCGCTCTTGCTGATCCAGATTGGAAGAAAGCGGGGGCGAAGCGATACCATGTGACGAGGCTCTCGCGGAAGATTCTGTCGGGCTGTCCGTCTTGCGAGTCCACGCATCCGCGATGGTCGATTGGAAATGAGATGATTGCATCATCTTGGCCGAGACTGAAGGATGTGGTCTCTTGGTAGACTTGGTAATGCCGCGATACTTCGGTCGACCGTGAGAGGAAAGAGTCTTTTTGACAGATCGTCCAGAAGGGTGGGGTCGAGATGTAGGAGGCTGAGAGGTGGACCTTGAGTGATTTCTCTCCAGCTCAAAGAGATCTTCGAAGCTTAACAACTCGGAGTCGCTACGAGAATCAATGCCGGAAGATGATGTAACATAGAAAGAGGAGGCAGGATCATCAGATCGAAACGAGGTTGCGTTTTGTGCGTACTTTTCGAGAGCCTTGTGCCAAGCAGCCTGTGTTTCCCGATCGAGTATAGGCTCAGGACCAAAGCATTCGCTTCCATTTGACAAAGACGATTCGAAATGATGCGTCGTGTTATCTGAAGTGGATTGCTTAGGCGTTCGGTCATTGAAATGATTGAGTAAATCTGTCTCGACATATTGTTCGAATAAGCGGTCCAGGTCGACTGCTTCGACCTCTTTGTCGCCGGTCGACCGTATTGGCATAGTGTCGGTGGAGTGTTGATGTTATAGCGATGAAAGGAAGTAGGTTTGCAGCGTATTTGGTTATGTTGGCCGACAATGGATAGGCGAGCGAGTGACGTTGAAGGATGTAGCAGAACTGGTGGCGAGTAAAGGCGATAAGTAACACGGTACTTGTACCTGACTGATGGAGACGCTGTGGTGGTTACAGGCCTGCACGAACTACTTCTGTAACGTGCCAATGATGCACCGTAACAAACATGCTAGACAAACCTAGACTAGAGAGACTTAATTTTGCATCCAAATATGGCAAAATACCTTACCAGCCATTTCCTACTCGGTGTACATTCCAGCTATACTTAGCGTAGTAGGTCGAATTGGGTTGACCCGGGGTTGGCATGGGGGGACCAAGCCCCAACCCTTTGGTTTCAGGTAGCTTTGAGGCGTTCGCACCGCCCGTGCCTCACAACCTCTCGAGCCCGCGACTAGGGTAATTGAACATGTCGTAATGATGGTAGGTGCGTGCCCATGCAGCCACATACCAGCCGTTGGGTATTCTCCCTAGGTACGTTGCCCATGCCGCAGGTACCCGTAATACGACAATCGGGTTGTAGATGACGTTCTTTGTTGTAGTGTCTTCGTGTATACCGAAGCTCGACCTGCATATGAGTGAGAGGTAGCGACCTGAGGGTTGTTTCAAAGGTAGAAGTCGGAGGGGCGCCTGAGCAACTACATTAGGGCCACAGCTTAGATTGTTGAGCAGACCACGTGGACTACGAAATTTTCAATGCGACAAGACAGTCTCGCCAGTTCAGTTACCAAAAGCCTGGTATCCGGCAAAGACAGATGCCGCAGACAGTTTCGATTCGTCGATTTCGAATTAGGTCTGCAGATTCTGAGAAGTGGATCGATGGCCAAAAACAGATGCAGGAACGGGGATTTCCGATCGGCCAGGATGTACCTATTGCAGGGACCAGAGCTGTGGATCAAAGGCAGGTAAGCGTAACAACGTGAGATCTGCAGCACGGTCAATCTGATGTGCACTCCGGGGCGTGCACGTTGGGGGAGCCGCAAGGACTCAGTATGGGTGGACCTTCCAACTTGACGAGGTTTAGAACAATTTGAAACTGTATCGCAGGATCGAGATGGTAGTGTTTCGATGTGCGACAAGACCGCCAGGTCTCGCTTTTGTTCTCACCAAATTGTGACGGCATTGTCTTCAGTCTCATGTGTGTGGTTTGATTCTGGGTATGTGGCCAATGCAGAGGCTCGTCATCCTATTTCGAAATAGATTGCGCTTTTTGAGTGACTGGCCGGCGTCGGTTGCCACAAATCTGATGGTGGAGGTGATGCCAGAAAGTACGCGTACACGATGGCAGCATGGTGTTGAGGCTTGCCCAGGCGCGCACGGGCGGTTAGCGCGTTGTACGAACAGCTGTGGGTCAGCCCCGGACATGGGCAGCTCGCGAGTCTCTGGAGTGACGACTGTACCAGCACAGCACCGACGAGATCGACGCTCCTATTGTCGTGTTTGCTGTTGCAATTCTCTTGCCTGATTTCGCACCCTACACCAGTGTCATGGATCCCGACGCGCCCATGGCCAATGAGCCGGAGCCAGGAGTCTTCCGTTGGATCATGGGCTTCCTTCTGGTCGGCGCATGCTGGGGGCTTACAACACCCTTCATGCGCAAAGCTGCCATGTAAGCCTCAAGCTCCGTCATGTACCATATTCTGCATTTTCTGGTCCTTTCCAGAACGCGTCCAGAGCTAATTTGTATTCGCCAGGAACTACACGCCGCCCCAACGCCCCGCCCTCACCGATCCAAACAACTCCTGGCTGAAGAAAAAAGTCTTGGGCGTACTCTACGCCGTGATTGGCGTCTTGAGCAGGCCAGCGTATGCGATACCGCTATTGCTGAACGTCACCGGCAGTGTGTGGTTCTTCATATTGATAGGCAAGGCGGAATTGAGTCTCACGGTGCCAATTACGAACTCTCTTGCGTTCTTATTCACCGTGTTGGGAGAGTGGTGGGCAGAGAAGAAGGTCATCAGTCGAGGTACGTTGTCTAATCGTGTATGTACGAGGGATATGGGCTAACACCAAACAGACACCTGGATAGGCATGGCCTTTGTACTCGGCGGGATCGGATTATGCGTCCAGAGCAAATCTTGATCAATCTACCTATAATTCTACATGGTCGTTACCAGTCCCTCGCGAGCCTGTTGTTCGTATTCGTCCCGTTCGCTGCTGTTACCTCCTTGGACAATCTCGAAAACCCTTGTTCTGGTGGCTGCAACCAGTTCCTCTCGTCGTACTTCTCCTCGCCCTCAATGACGTGGAACGTGTAGATGTTGCGGCTCTTGCTGCTCGTATTCTTTTCCGACTTGTGGAGTATGTTACCATGGATGAGCACTAGAGTCCCAGCCTTGACCTCACCCATGTCGTATCTTTCCTCCTTCTCGACCATCTCGTACTCCTTCTCGCCGTTCGTTTCCTGCTTCAAGCTTTTTGGAAATCTGGCGCCCTCGTTGTCGATGAAGCCCGTGCCGTTGCCTGTTCTTACAAACCTCTTCTCAATGGCAGCACGCTTATGACTCCCAGCAGCGAAGCTCAGACATCCGTTCTCCTGTGTCGCATCCTCGAGCGCATACCACCATCCAACCGCGCTTGGCGGATCCGTGTACAAAAAGGTGCTATCTTGGTGTGGTGGCACTGCGCCGCCTATCTCTGGCTGTTTGCAGATGACCATGGATTGCAGGACACGAGGGTCGCGGAAGCCGAGGGAGGAAGCGATGGCGGCATTGCGGGCCGACAGGGACATGCTGCGGAAGGAGGGTGAAAGCTCGTGGAGGTAGTGCCCGATCTTGTTGATGGCGCGGTGTTTGGGTTTTGTCAGCGAGCCAGACTTGTCGAAGGCGTCTGCTCAGATGTCAGTGTATTGTTTTGAGTTTCCGAACGCGCTACGTACCCTCTTCAAAGAAGAACCGCACCTTATCGCCGGATTCTAAGAAGTAGCTGTCTCCAACGTGATCGGCGCCGTCGTCACCACCAGTTGAGAACTTGGTCATGGGATGGTCGTCGAGTGAGAAGTCGTTGAGCATCTTATTCGTGTCTTCCACCAACTGCTTGACCGTTTCTTGCGACAGAGCATCCGGTATCAGTAGGTAGCCGTTCTCATTGAAGAAAGCGAGCTGCTCGGGCGTGAGCCCTTCGGCGGTTTGCGCAGTCATGGCCGGATGAAGAATTGGGAATACGTATACACTGTGGTATGAAGGATTTTGCAACGACAGCTATGTACAAGTGACTGTTCCCCAGCTATCGCGTGCAGGCCGTGGGTAAGCGTCGGAGTTGGCCGTAGCCTGGCGCGATGCCATGTGCTGCCCCGCTATCGACCCGCGTCGTCGGGCTTAATTCCGCTCAGAACCAAGCCAGCCAGCCTCATTCCAAACGCGTCGCGATGTGAGCAGCCCTCGACCCATCCATCGCCCCCATCCGCGGCCCCATCAACGATACCCACCACTAGCTTTCAAAGATCCGAGCATCTGGTCACAGGTCCTCCAACCCGCAGTGCCACGAAACGATAGCTCGCCCTGCTGGCTCATCCCCAGCAATAAAGAGGCACGACCGGGCCCTGGCTTCAATACTACGCGACTTATACCCACGCTAAAGACAGCTGTGGTCACATCGCAATCCCGAAAGACAGGAGACGAGCACACCGAGATGCAGGGAGATGAAATGTCGGGTCGTGTAACTCCAGAATAGCTCACCCAGGCAGCAACGACGCCATGACCTCGACCCACGAAGGCTGTCACCCTTGCGTTTGCGGCTCTTACGACTCTGCACGTGCACACTTCCCACACCGAGGAGACGACTGATGGCTGAAACAACACGTGGAGGCTCAGCGGGCTCCGTCCCTCCGCCCGTAACTGGCCCTCTACCTAGCCATGCATGACATAGGGCTGATGTGTAGCGGGGAACGCCCTCAGGTCCGGAGACAAACAACCTCATCGTATCCCGACTGCATGTACCTGGCTGCATGAAACAACAGGGTCTCGGGTGCATGGAAGTCATGGCTCCGAGGTCTTACCGTATCTACTAATGTTGTCGAACACAACTTGAGGGATGCGATGAACAAGGGCGTGCTGGAATACGCTACTTTCTCCTCCATGTGCCCTGCGGAATCATGTTTCCCCCTTGAATCGGGTGTCCAGACTTCCAAGGTTCGCTTCCTCAGTCACGTTTACACGACAGCCTTGGCATCAACACTCAAGATTGGTCAAGGCTATCGCGGCTGATGGCAAAATGGGAAATACCGCTCAAATCGACTTGCGAATAAAGGTAGCTCCTTCAGTTACGTTGATTGGCTAGCGCACCTGACCAACCCTTGTTGTTGCTATAAACGCAACAAAGAACCTTGACTCGCGCGAGTAGCACGCCAGACTCTCCTACAGTTACCTCGAAACCATGAAAGGAATAATCGTGCTGCCTGCTGGGAGCTATGTTTCGTCTCCAAAAGGATGAGCACCTGCCAACTGAGGATATATTAGCCAGTCTTTGTCAGATCAATGACGTCCATGTTTCCGACCTACAGGACAACGATCGAAATAAGCACTCCATAATATTGGATCCTGTCCGTCAGACGGCACGGCAGCTTTCGTGCATCATATGTACAGCGTCATGGCAGGGCTGCTTATCACACGACGTCTTTTGAGAGCTCAGGTACAAGGAAAGGGTTTCATTGCTCCATCTATAGGATCATACCATACGAAATCCACGCCTCCAGAAAGTCGCCCGACAAGAACATCGCCTGTCATCAAGTTCCCATCCGTTTCCTTACCCTGTACCTCAACAACCCGGATGATGCAGTACTAAACATTGCGAGGGACGAATGTCATGACGACTTTTGCGAATGGCTTGATGAGCAGAAGCATCGAGCACCTCTCCAAAACGGTCAATGAGCATATAAGATGATGATTCACCGCGTTCTGGGCTGGTGAGCTGTTGCCTTGTTCCCTTCATGGAC